GACGGACAGACAGACGGACAGACGGACAGACGGACAGACGGACAGACGGACAGACAGACAGACACACGTATGACATACGTAATACGTACATACATACTTACATGCATCCACGCATACGTACATACAACACACATCCATCCATAATTACATACCATGCCGTGCCGTGCCGTACCGTAGCGCACCGTACCATACCATAGCATAGCATGCCATGCCATGTCATGCCACATACAGACCATACAATCCATGCGTGCCGTACATCTCATATACAACGTACACCCCACACGCTACATTGTCAGCACATTACGACACATGGCGTTACATTACTTTAAAGATTACGTTACAATACATTACATACCATACGTATCATACAATTCATTGCGGTACATTACATTGCATTGCGGTGCATTAAATGACATTGCATTCCAATGCAATACATTGCATTGCGTTGCATTACAATGTGTGGCATTTTGTTACATGTGCATTGCACTGTATTGTGTTAGCAGTTTGCACTGTGTAATTACACGGCGTTACATTGCGTTACACTACACCTAACTTAAATTTACTTTCCATACATACATACATACATACATGCATATGTGCGAAACAGACATGCATACATGCTCTCGGGCCCCGCCCCTTCGTGGTATCCTCCCCACCCACCCCCTTTTGGTACAAGTGTGTAGTTTTCGAGTACCCTACACTGCCCGCTATGGCTGGATAAAACTTTATGGTATTCTGTATAAAGGCGACCGCCCTATTGACGACACGCTGGATTTGCCTCACCAAACCACGGGAGTAAGGTGAGCCCATTGCAGGGCGCCTGACCTACTTGGAATGGGGTTTCGTATTTCTTAATCACAATTCTACAAGGTGTTATCGAAAAAATGGCGTTCTGCGAGGCCCTTGTTCCGGCACCCAGCCACCTGGTCGTTCTTCGTCCATCATCTTGGAGAACTTCAACTTGGACGTGCTGTCTTGGGTCGGGGTTCAGGACCGGCTGTGCGGATAGGAGCTATATAGCGCAAGAGTCTAGAAATTTCAGATCTAGCATTAAGACTTGTCGAATGCGGCGTGTAGGCACTGTTGGCAATACCCCCAATAGCAACCCACAAGACTCGAAACGTCCAGGCCGAAGCCGTACATGCTTTCAGCCCGCAAAACCTTCATGAGGTGTTATGGAGGCTTCGAGATTAGAGATAATGGTTTGGTTGGAGTTTATGGTCATTGAAATAGAATTGGCTTGGTGTTTCGGGTTTAAGCTTACACAAACAAAACACACCGAGCAGTTTAAACCTGGTCGAATACTGAAGAGAACAACACCCGAATAACTCAATCAAGACTGTTGCAAACCCTGAGAAAAGGATAGAAAAGGTGTGAAGCCTTGACAGAAAGCCGCAGAACAATCCTTGTCCAGATCTCCGATGCCAACGCGCTGGGCATGACGAGTATCCCCGTCGCCGATTACAACAGCAAAACTTGCAGTGTTGCCGCAGTGCTTGAAATCCCGAAGACAAGTCGCTAAATCCCACGTTCCCTCTCTTCATGCCGAAACTACAATGATTTACAAGACACCTTCCCAGAGCTGCTAGGCTTTTCTCGAGGGTCTGGCGCGCCCCTCTATCCATGCCATCACGTCCTTCCAACAAGTGTTTCTGAAATAGTTTTCGTCTGCACTGCTGAAGGTTTTTCAATGCTCAGGGTTTAGAACTCAGACGTGGCTGGTTTCAGGGGGCTTTCTTGATCCAAAGCCCCAAACCCAAAGCTCGCACCTTACACCCAAAGCCCCGTGGCGCAGGACTCAATGCCTGTGGCTGCAGGGCGACGAATACGGGCTGAAAGACCGAACACTAAGCATCGCCAGACGCTTGCAGTACGACATAGTCCATAATGCATGCAACACATGGTGCGGGTATGCAGAACAAGCCGATTACAGGATCCTTCAAACTAAACCCCGAGATGCTGACGCCCTCGTTTCAGCTGTCCTTCGGCTTGGTGTCGGGTGGCTCCTCGGCCAGCTGCCCCTAAAACACCCG